GGACGACTCGACAGAATCGCTCGCTGTACGGAAACCGTCTGAGTCGCGAAGTTAACGCGAATTCGCCTTTGGACAGTTTTTTGACCTGTTGGAATATAAGTTGATTACCACTCAGTTAATATGAAAATAATCGTTAATTTAGCCTGAATACCACGCCCGCCCAACTGTTGGCGTATCGTCGACATGCCATCGTTCTCTGACTGATTATCTGACACACGGTGAGATGAATTGCATACTCAAGGGAATTTGCATATTAGTACTGAGGTTTACATCACTTTCGAATGCCTCGTTTTTGCATGAACTCATTGACACAGATATGAGAATGCAAATTTTCAACGATGGTTTCGGCACCTTGCATCACAGACGTTGCTGTAGTGCAATTATAACGTACTTCGAAAATTGCTGTGCAAGTACATTGCAAAATGTCCGATTCTCTATGGTAATGTACTCACGGACTTAGCATGTACCGGGAGGGAAAAGAATGAAGAACCTAGACTAAAGGTGAGAGACTCATTTATTGGAATATTCCAAAAAACATTTTTTTGACTATAACCCGGCGAGAGAGTAATCGCATTTCGACCTATAGGTCACATTCATTGATTATGCATCAGCATTTTATTTGGAGAATGCATCGCACTTGATCTGAACTCAACCATTCGGATATCGGCTTGCGACTCGGTGATGAGTGGACTGCAATTATCACATTACTGTCATTTCATTTTTTCTACATGGCAAGTTTCAATAAAAGCGTGACGTTGCATTCCTGACTGGTATCTGGTGGACGCTGTATCGTGGGCAGGCCAATCCGAGGACGCCAGTTGTGATTACTGTAGTCGAACTTAAGAGGACTTATTGCAGACTTTTGCAAAGACAGAAGATGGTCGCTTCGTTGAAGCGAATGAATTTGCAGAAACCGTGGCTCCGCTTCTTCTGAATGTGCCATAGTATTCTATGCTCCCGGAAAGGGTAGGTGACACAGGCGGTGTTTAAGGAGTCTGAACATCTGGTCGTCTTTGGAGCGAACCCCCAGCAGCCTCTGCGTAGCGCTGTATAAATACGCATCGTATTCTCTGTAGGACATCAGCAAGCACAGTTTTGAAGCAGGCCATTCCACTGAAGATATGGTAGTCATGAATATTATCTCGCAGCTGCGCGTTTGATTTGGCCACCTTCGCGCCCACCCAAAACGGTTTTCTAAAGCATAGGCGTTGTATAGCAAATCGGTCTTAATGGTAGTCCAACAACGACACCATCTGTGTGCATTGGCCTGCATGTGGTCGCAGATAAGTATCAGTTTCTGGCGCCTGTCTGTTTGGGAATGCGTCCCTCGCCCTCCCGACCACCTCGCGATAATAACTAAAAAACATACCGGCCCTCACGCACGGCTTCTTGGCCGCATTTGTCCATTGTACACCTCCGATACTCGTGATTGAGCAAGGCGGTTGCGCGTTCGCTGGACGCTGATGCTTGGAAGCGACTGTGGCTGACAGTTCCGGACCTCACAGTGTTCCAACGTTTCGAGTTCCATTTGAAGCGTTTGAGGATAGGTCAACAGTGGCCTCACCAAATTTCAAGCTCCATCTTTCGTTTATGTAATTTTCGTATCGCTCTTGACAAAGTCGCCTCGAGGTAATCCATGTTTGATATGGTTCGTTATGTAAAACAACCTTATATCAGCAACTGCGTATGATTACTAGGAGGAGACGCTGCCGGTCGAGAATCACGGCACTTTCATGCGAAGCCGACTCACAACTGAATTCGGATCTTCGGAGACTTAGAGTGCTTTCTTCTGTGAAATTCAGAACTTTCTACCCTCCGGATTTCTTACTCAAAAATGAAGATTTTGTTTTTACATAAGACATATAATTAAAGACAAATTATTACGATTTGATATGCAACAGATGAAGTATGAAATGAACGGTTTTATAACAGGGTTAGGTAAACATTCTTTCATGACATTGAATAAATAGTTTGTCCTGCTTTTCTTGTTACTGTCGATTAATGGATATGATTTGTTGGATATCTCAAACGGCGTTTTCTAGTAGGATTCAAAAATATTCAATTTTTTAACTTTAATATTGCATTGCGGATTCGCAATATTCTTTTCTGCAACCATCTTTGGTTATAGGTCTTCCGATATTGTTGCGCTTTGATTTAGGGAGTTAATAAGCCGCGTAATTACTCAGTGAATAAATATTTTCAAGACGCATTCTGGTTTTCGATAGCGTAAACGAAAACTGTCCATTAATAAGCAAAAGAAGCATCATAGGTGCAAGGGAACTTTTAGAACTAGAAATGATTTCCAATATTTACTTATAATGTTCTCAAATTCAAGGGTGGTAATAATTTTAATATGTCGGATACCCAGTGCGCTGCCATTTACGGTACACGGATGATTCTCATATTTTTGGAACGTACTTTTAGACAGCTTACCAATAACTGTTTGCAAAGATTTAATAAACAAGTAGCGAAATGATTATCACCGGTGAATATTTCTATTTCTGGAAGCCTCCTCAAAACTGCTGCTAAATTGCCGTGTGCAAAGAACGGAGGTAAACAGCTGCACACAGGGTTGACAGCATGGACGGCTTTACGACACCACTCATCATAGCATGAGCAGTGGCGAGTTTCATCGATGCATCCATTCTCGCAGACCTGAAAGTCATGCATTGCTGCAATTCAAGCACCCCCGGTACTTGATCTGAAGTTGTTGGCATTAAGCTTGACTTCTATATATATTCCTATTCCTTTATAAGGTTATTCAAAGATGATTCTGTTTAATAAGCGAATTCATTTGCTACTCGGCGACTGAAGCCTAAACCTTTAAAGCAAACCAAGGTAAGAGGCATGACCGACAGAAGGTCAACAACCGGCAATATGACCATTAATCATTACTGAGGAAGTTGCTCATTGGGCTGAAGAGATTTGTCTTCTATTGTTGGCTCAGTAGAAATCTGGTCGCACGTTGTGACATCCATTTTGCTGTGTAGGTAATGAAACCTTTGATCTATTCGCATTCGATTTTGATATTCAACTTGCGTAGGCGAGATTATTTCGACAATGCTGTTATTCCTTTGGCATTGGCCAGCTTTCCCTCTGTTAAAATCGTCCCGTGTCAACAATGTGAAGGCCCCGCGAAAATAGACTCGCTAATTACAATTAGCAAGTCAAGTGAGTTCGATGAAATCGTTATCTCATGATTACATGGAAGTGTGGTCCTCAATAGCTAGAGCAGGGTACTGCTTGTGGTCCTTACGACGTTTCATGACGTCATTACTACTTTTGCGATTGCCATCGATATGCTGACCTGCTTATGCGTTGTTTCCTCTTTTCTTTCTGAACTCTCGATTGTAATGTACGTATTCTACGAACACGAAATGACCATTTACTTCATACATGTTGAAGTTTGCTTCACTCGCAGCTCTGCTTAGGGATTAGTGTTTATAGGATCAGTTTTTCCTGAGGGCATTAGAACTAATATCTAGTTGTGACTTCGATGATGGCATTTCGTGGTCTTTAATTAGGCATCTGCTGATATTCATCGTATCAGTATCGACTTTAATCCTGCTTTTCCAATCACCCTTACTCCGTTTCCTTGGCTATTAAAAAGTATCCTCTCATTTGCATTCATTTGAATATATTACGAGTGGTACTAATATGTGAGAGGCTCTGCGATTTTACACTTAGCTTTTGCTTCTTGAAATAGTAAATCTAAGGAATTTGCTTCACACGGTGAACAATATCCTTACTGTGGTTATACTACTTTTCAAAAGGCTTTCTCCGCATCTAATTGGCAACTGAACACTCGAGAGAAGTTCTCATCTGTTTATAATAAGTGTTAAAATCTATATATCAATGACTAAGCGTTGGAGATGTGGATAAGTGAATAATTACAATGGGATAGAGGACGAGACTCGATGGCGTTTCCTGTCACTTTCTCAATGAAGAAAAGCAATTGGCCAATGGATTCGATTGGGCTGCAGCAGATAACAGAGGATTCTGTTCGGTTTATTCTATTACACCAAATCCACCCTCTGTGCAAGAGTGACACAACGCAATTTTCAAGGTACAATCAAAAGCGTGAGCATTTAACCTTAGAGAAAGTCCTGTACCTT